ACAGCTTGTTCAGTGTTGTTTGTGTAATGGTCATGTGACTTCACCCTAATGGACAGGAATTGTGTGTTTAGTAGCGCAATAATTTGCAGGGGGTCAGTGTTTTCCCTGCATTTGTCTGCTGCTCAGGAAAGGAAGAAGCCAAACATATGTGTGCTGGCAGAAGGCATGTGTGTTTCCTCCCAGAGAGGCCTCTGCTGAGTGTGTGTACGCATGTATTTGAATGAACTTGTTGCACTGCAGCAGTTTCCAGGGTCACAGGGTGCAGCTTTTTCAGAGCGGCACTGTATGTTTACAGTGCTCGCACACATACATTCAGAGAGACATACATTAACATACTCACCTACCCAGAGAGGCCTCTTAGGGTGGAAACCATGTTCGTTCTTAGTAGAAACTCTTGGCAGGTCTGCAATTTGACTGTTTGTTATATCCTGTGGATATATTTGAAACAATTTAAGAACAAGCACAGTTGCAAAAATACATTAAAAAATACCTCTAAATTACAATATTTATTTTTATTTAAAATTTGTAAGAAGTGTTATAAGACTTTTTTAGAATAAGACTATCAAAGCCATCCTTGTACAAGGAAAGCAGATTTTCACGTGGTCTCTTAATTTTATCCGAAAGTGGGTCTATACACATACAATTTCTTCATTTCTAACTTGTCTATTTGAGCTGTGAAATTCTTAAAGTTATTTTTAGTTACTTATATTTGCAATTGGTCGTTTTATTTTCGGGCACTACAGTGGCTCAGTGGTTAGCACTGTTGCCTCACAGCAAGGTCACCGGTTCAGGTACCGGCTGGGTCAGTTGGCATATCTGTGTAGAGTTTGCATGTTCTCCCTGTGTTTGCGTGGGTTTTTTCCAGGCGATCAGGTTTTTCCCACAGTCCAAAGACATTTGCTATAGGTGAATTGAACAAAATTTAGCCTAGTGCAGGGCTCGACAATAAGGACTGCCGATGACCCAGGGCCAGCATGCGAGACCGTAGACAGGATTGTTACTGGCCCAAGTTTAATTTGGCTCAGAATGTTTGTCAATTATGTGCAAGTCCAGTCTTAAGGGGGGTCGCACACTATCAGATGGTGCTCTGTGGCGCGGCAAGTATAAAATGTCAAGTATAAAAGCCTTGTCCGTGTCGTGAGGTGCACACAGTCAGCAGAGATCCATGAAAGTATAATTCAGGCTTTAACCTGCGAACCCTTATTATTAATATTATATTTGGCATTATTAATTATTAATATTTGGCATTATTAATATTTGGAATATCAATGTTCATATTATTTTAAAGTGAAACTGACTCCCGCAAAATATGCTTTTGTCTTTAACAGTGAAATCTGTTTAATATAGGCTATATAGGCTCTCAAATTTCTTTTTTTATTACATAGTTACATCACATTTAAAATATGTGGCTAAGAAATAGCTAACTTCTTTTTTTTTGTTGGAGCCAGTGAAAATTTTGGCAGGGCAAGTAAAGATTAGAACCACTGACCCAATCAGGTCAATAGAAAAATCCTTAGTGTTGAACCCTGTAGTGTAAAACATATGCTGGAATAATTTGTGGCTCATTCCGCTGTGGATACCCCTGATAAATAAGGGACTTAGCTGAAGGAAAATGAATAAATGAATGTTTTTGCCAAACTGAAATCACATCAACAGATTGTTTGTATCTATAATATTGAAACACTTGATTTTTGCAATAACATGGAATTCTAAAATATTTATTCCAGTCATTGAAAGTCAGGAGAGTTTATATATATTTGCCCAAATCAAGGATTTTGTGTAATTTTAACATTTTTATTATTCAAAAGGTCGTTTTTCTGTACCATGTTTTTTAATGTTTAGCCTAATGTTTTAATGTTTACCCTTAGGCTGTGTTTTTTTATTATCAACTGATAATTACTTACTGTAAGTAGACTATTAAAATACTGGCTTTTTTAATCTGCTTAGTGCTTAACGCAACAGCTGCCTTTTTTTCTGTCCATCAAGGGTCATGGAAATTCAGCATCTTATTCAGGGAAATGTCAGGAAATTTCATATGTGACTCTGAGTGGGAGCTCAAAGAAAGATTTGCTATCGGTAAAACAGACATTTTGACTTTAGTGAAATACAGAAAGAGACTGACAGTCAAAGGCTCTATTGTTTTTACTTTGCTCTGGGCTCAAGACATCCGCATAGTTGTACCTCTCCATGGGGCCTTTGCACAGCTGTGTGTGTGCGCGCGTGTGTATGCACAGGCATCCTCTTGCAGTATGGGTTACAGTGTAACTGTGTCAGTGTTTTCTCTAGGAAGGGTGTTTGTCTTACAGGCCGCTGGAGAGGCCCTTTTGTTTAACTTGGTGAAGAGGATCATCCTCAAAGCGAAGGTCCTCAGTACTGTACACTTACCCTGTGGTGTAGTCCATGTTTGTGCTTGAGGAATATTTTCAAATATCACAATGTGCATATGCAAGTTTGGTCACTTCCATTGTGTCTTCACTTATCACTAGTTTGCATTGATATTGTGAGTTAAATTAAGCGGAGAAAAGCAACGTCACAAGGATTTTTCAAAATAGTAATGTTTTCATTCCCATGTTCAAGAGAACGAAATTATAACTTGTGTGGAAATGTGTTACTGGCAGTGCCTCTCCCCCCAAAAAACACATTTTCTCTACATGCTTTGGGTCCAGCATTTACGAATGACCAGAGAAAAGAATTGTTGCAAAACAGTTTGTAAATAAAGTGACATTTTCATTCCATGTTTTTAGAAAAACAATACTAAATTAACGCATTTTTTAGAAATTGGTCACTGCTTCTCAGAACAGTTTCAAAACAGGCTGTGGCTTCAGCATTTCAGAATGACCAAACATCTTATCTTTACTTGTTGTTCTCTGAGCAATATATTCAGTTACACAAAGTTGTTGAGGTAAATACATGTGACTTTTGTGGCAGTTATCTAGAACCTTCAGTAAATGTGTTGTCATCATAGTTGATGTACTTCTTACAAAATACCTTAACTACCTGAAAAAGCGATTTCACTCTTAAAAGTAAATGTTCTTTTTACATCAGTGGTTCTCTGAAGAACATTTAACATCCTTGAAGCATTTTCATCACACAAACGTGTCTTTATAGTGGAAAATATTCTTTAGTTTATGAAAATGTTCTTCACAAAAAGTTCAAAGAACTTTCCTCTAGAAGGTTTCTTGGGGAACCAAAAATGTTCTTACAGTATATGGCATCATTGTGAAAGCTCAATTTTGGGACTTCCAGGTAGACACATATAAACGTGTGTACGTGTGTGTGTGTGTGTGTGTGTGTGTGTGTGTGTGTGTGTGTGTGTGTGTGTGTGTGTGTGTGTGTGTGTGTGTGTGTGTGTGTGTGTGTGTGTGTGTGTGTGTGTGTGTGTGTGTGTGTGTGTGTGTGTGTGTGTGTGTGTGTTTTAACACATTTTTTTAAGTGCATCAAAGCAATTTATTGTTTTCTTCCCAACTACTCCCCAATATTATTTGGGTGCCCCAACAATGACAAAAACATATTAAAACGTAAACATTTGAATTTTAAAAAGACAAATGTTTACATACTGCATGCAATTTATGCTAAATATGTATCCCATGAAAGGTTGTTCGGTGTTTCACCAAATAGACATTAAAAGTGTCTTAGTAGTGTATTTTCTTGGTAAACACACGTCAACAGTGGCCACAAACCCTTTTCCATTTCGCACTGCAGTAATTGCTCTCAGCTCCCAGTGACATGCACCACATGATCAATAGCGCTGAACCTGAAGACCTCACATCCCTGGTCAGAGTTCAGAATACTGGGGAAGGGGAGTCTGTAAAACAATACTGCCCTCTTCTGGGAAGACAAAGGAGAACAAACCGTAGAGGAGACCAGCAACAGATAGGAAACCCTCCTCAGGGAGGAATAGAAAGCTTTGCAGCAGATGTTCTCTTATATTAGCCCCTAGTAGAACTGAAACACACCAAAACCAGAATAGTGAAGAGGTTAAATCTATCTTCAGGAAAGTAGAATTGCGTTGATAGACTAGCGAATTTGTACATGCAAATGTTTCAGTATATCATAGTCACACACAAACACATATACACAAACACACGTACACACACTTTACTCATGCTTTGGTAGAAATGGAGCTGTCTGGTGCCATGGCAACCAATGCGGATATCCACCCCAATTCCCACCCCCTTCCTCACCAGAAAGAGAGAGAGAGAGCGATAGAACGTTAATTAAAACCGAAGCAGGGACTAACCGAAGAGCGAGAAAGGGGGGGAAAGAAAGAAAAGCATGGCTTCTACAAGATAAAACACTACAATGCAAACAAAACGGAAATGAGACAAATCCTAATTTCTTTTCTGGAGGCGTGAAGTCGAATGTGAGATGTGCGTGAAATGAAGTCCGACATGATTAAACAGGTTTTTCACAAATTGGACATAATACCAAATAATAAAAGAGCATTCTGCTAGGAGGGAAATATAATAGCTCCTTCGTGTGTTTAGATTTTCTTTTATGTGTTTTTTATTAAATGATATTAATATTAATAACAGTTGCCTCACCCACATCTGCTTTAGCAATAAAAATAGTGTAAATATTGGACATTCAATGGAGCACAATGAAAAACTGAAACATTAAGACATGAACACACACACACACACACACACACACACACAGAAAGAGAGAGAGAGAGACAGGAAAAGCACCAACATGAGCTAAACAGGGCGCCAGGCCGGGGCATCTGAGGACAATGTGGGAGGGAGCAAATCAAGGGGGAGGGGCTTAGGTAGATTCAGAACAGGAGAAAAGAATAATTCCACAGTACACAGAGAAATAAATAAAGGGATGGAGATAGATTGTGGTGAAGTGAGATTGGGTGAGGGGTGTAGAGTAAAAATCATGACTTGGCTATGTGAGCCGGGTCTGTTTCTGAGTTACTCCATAATCCTTAGCAAATGTTTCTTTAAAGGTTTTTTATAATATACTTTCCCTAATCTGAGATGTGTTTTCTCTTCCAGATGAACCTCCAAATTCCGAATGGACTTGACTTTTTCATGCAGAGGTAAGAGTGATCTGATATGTCCCTTGATATGTATGTATGGCTGCAGTGCTGCTGTGAACCTGCAGATGGCAGACTGTCACACCAGCGTCCTATAGGAACTGTCTGTTCTACTCTCTTCAAAACATGACCCAGCAGAACAGTGCTTTAAAAAGGGAGTGGTTGGTGGCACCGCCCCTGTGTAGTCACAATGCATGAGTCAAACACATCATCATCATTTGGATAGATGAACAGCAGCTGTCCATGTGCAAGTGTCCTGTTTGAGTTGAAAACATAATACATCAAAATACAATATCACTTGTATCTGTTCTGTGCTTACACTGTGTGTTGATAGCACAAACTTTTTTGAGTTGTGTAGCTGCAGAGGTATGAAGTCAGATAACGTCACATTGTGATGAAGGACAACATGTCACATTGTTAGTCTAACTTTGAACTTTAATGTTGCATTTACAGTTGTGACATTGTAAGAAATAAAGTCCCTAGTAGATGTAAAGATACATTCTAAAATACAAAGTCAAAACACAATCGGAAAATATTCATACTTTATACTTGCAAGATACACTTCAATAATTGGCATTGTGCTCTAAAGTACATAAAGGGGAATCCATATAATGCTGAAATATTAATAAAACTGCCAAAGTATTTGCTTTCTGAAAAATCAGAAACTGTTCTGCATTCAACACATCTGTGCATGAAAGAAAAGAAAGAAAACATGACTCAGCAGTCTCCTGGCACTCTCTTAGAGCCCATCTTTGTTGTGGGATAGCTGCATATGGATGTGCCCGATTAAATAAACGTTAATCTCTAAAGGCCTCCAGGCCAAACAGGCTACTCCGGCTCCATCCAGTCCTATCAGGGCAGGCCGCCAGTCTGCCTGGGCCTTGCTTGCGGAGTCATGCCCACTGTGCCCTCCCCACAGCGGGTACGGGACCAAGGGGAATGTCCCCCGCCCTCCCTCTTTTCTCTCGCCCAGGCCTGTTTGAGATAGCCAATGGTATGACCAACTCGGACAAAGTTAAAGTGGTTCGAGACAAGCTTTCATCCAATCAGAGCACACTGCAGTAGAGCAAGCAGGTGGGTGGGGGGGTAAGGAGAGAGACAAGGCGAAAGACAAAGGAAAAGGAAGATGGAGGGATTGACTTGGCATGAGAGAGAAGAATAGAAATGGAGATGGGCAGAAATGAGAGGAACATGTTGTTTGTCAGCCAGGAAACGACGAGTATCGACTTTCGCTGCCCTTATTGATCATTCTCAACAGTGTTTGTCCAGCACAGTCCCAGACATTTAGCTCATTCGCACATGTTCACACCCAGACATGTGGCAGACATACAATTTTAGTAACAACCATAATTGCCTGTGATCTTTGAATAGTAACACCCAGATTATGATTTCTGGACCTCAGGGCAAGAGACTGACACACTCCATGTATCTTCCTGCCAATATGCGCCAAGTGTACTTACCAGTGAGAGATGGGTTAGTGGAGCAGACTGACTCCTCCGCCTCATATCGCTCATCCTTTTCCAGCCATCAATAGACGGATGACCCAGGCGGAGCGGAGGTGATGGAGGAATGGGCAGAGAGCAGAGCTCCCACACACACTGACTGTCTATCTATCCTTCTCACTGTTTCCACAGAGGAAGGAAAGAGAGGTGATTGAATGAGTTCAGCTCGAGTTCTGCTTCACAATCATTCTCTGTTCCTCTCTGAATCTTCATCTGTCCTCCTTCGGTTCTCTGACCAAAAGTCTTCTTTTGTTCAATAATAAATTTGTGGACCATTTTTGGCTGCCTGCATGTATCTGTATACTTTCCTGTTAGAATTTTGTACTTATTAAAACTAGTGCACTCTTTGGCCTCTATGCTCTTCATGCCAGAGCCAGTATGTAGTACTAATGCATCTTTTATTAAAGAGGTTCAATTATACCTAATTTCACAATATGCAGCATTAGTGTCTCGAGATTGTAGGTGTATGTCAAATCACATATTTATGCATGATTCTACGCCATTTTGTAGTAAATTAGTGTACAGTAAGTAGTTCAGCACACGGAGTCCTAAAAAGAGCAACTGGACTTTAAATACACAAATGATGTGGGATGTTGAACACATCATGCACTCAATGGTCTAAGCTTTGCTCACATAGTGGAAGTGGAGAAACTATCGGGCACTGAGGTTGGATTGTTATATTTATTTTTAAATGTACATGCAAAATTCTCCAATAGAGTTTGTGAATGCAGTTGTATCATGATGGGTAGTATTAAAGACCATAGAATACACAAGATGTGTCACTCGTATAGTTTTGAGTGGGGAAAAGTGTAACGGTCAATGTGGCGAATGAAGCCCCGCCTATTATTACAGGTGTACAGAAAAGCTAGGACCAGACGTGTGCTTTTATGACAGTTTGGTGGTCAACAAACACACTGGAATCTCATTGAATACTTCCTTCACCGACATGAGAAATATACATAAATTTAGAAATATGTGCACTTGAAAACAAAACTTTTTTTGGTTTTGTAATCTGTATGAAATGAACACGAGGTACAGTCCATCCTGTCAAATGCACATCACATGACAGCAACTACTCAAACGCCCACAAACTTGTAAGCAAAGAGTTGCTGTAATTTCTAGAGGAGACTCGCCACCAAGACCAAGTTGTGAATTACTTCAGAAGACCAGCGTGATCAGATGAAGCATCATTCAGAGGATGATAATGTGTAGAACGGCCATAAATGAGATTGTTGTGATCTCATTTCTTTTGAAAGTGCATTAGCTTTGGAAACCTTAAAATGTGCAGATTAGGTTTAATTTGGACGTTTAGAAATGAAACTTATGATACAGTTGTTGTTTAATTTTATTGGTGGTTCCAAATATGTAATGTAATCGTAAGCTTGGCAAACAGTTTTGGAGAATTTGATGTATTCCCGTTCAGACAGAATGCCCGAGCATACTGCGTTTCAAAGATGACCGCCGAGTGAAATTACTTGCCTTAAAGGGACTTTGGTAGTATTTGTTAGTTTGATGATTTATTTGACAAATTTAGCAATATCATCTTGAAAACGGTTTGAATTTCCAGTTAATAAAATAAATGTTAGTGTTCTATTTGCAATGAGTTTAATAATTTGTAACTGGCTCAAAAAGTAAGCTGGATTACGTGATCACGGATCGCAAAAACAGGATTACTAAATCCGGATCAATTTTATCCGGATTAAACCTTTTGAAAAACCGGGCCCAGGTGACTCACACTTAACTGCAGCTTGTGAGGTATTGAACAGACGCACATCACTTCATAACTAGTGGCTGTTGTTTGACTAAACTAAATTTTTTATGATATCTTGGTCACACTATTTGGAGGGCCGGAACAAATTGCCTCAGCAGCCCAAGGTCGGCCCACGGGCCACCGATTGAAAAGCCTTGATCTAGAACCTGTACAGTATGTGATGTTACTATTGATCCCCCCAGCCCTCACCATATAAAATACACCAGTTTATAGTGGTAAACCACATTATATTTACTTTTGAATAAGGCATACTCGTATTCCTGTTAAATAATTCTACATGCCAGTGGATCTATATTTTTGTTCTTATCTGTATCTGAGCGTTTATTATTACTTTATGATTCTATAGCGCTGGAAGCCGGTTGGGCAGATTGCCACATACTACTCATACCAACACATTATCCCACTGAAGAATGCCTACTGAAGAATGCAGCACGTCCCTCACCCTCCATATCCATCATACCAACTACCAGCCATGAAGGAAAGATGGAGAAATAAATTAAATTAGAAACAAATTGAAGAGATTGCAAATTCAAGAACAAAGTCAAAATTATTTTATTTAGTCTTTTTCAAATATTTCCCAAGTGATGTTTTATACTGGTATACTTCCAATGAAATAAAAGCACACACTATTTTGTTTTTTAATGGTGAGCAAAAAGAAATTTTAAAAGGCTGAGGTGCTATACTGTTTTTAAACACTTAAATACCCCTCTGCTACGGGAGAGTTGGACATGTGTCACTTTGTTTGTGTGTACCAGTCTACTCCTTTGCAGAAAAGCAATGGTGGCTAAAGTTCTGTAAACATATTTTCTGCTCTGTACAAACCAGCTTTTGTGCTTGACTCTCCAGTTTGTTCATGTTGTTATTATTCTTCTGTCTGGCGATGAGAAATGAATCAGGGTGGAAGTGAATGCATGCCAAAGAAGGTGGAGTTCTAGAACACACCCACCGATTGCTTAAATGCAATGGACCAATGGCAGCTTAAAGTCATTTTAGAGCCAAAAGCAAAATTGTCTTTTTGGTGAGTGGTTTTGAACTGCCAAAACAAATTTAAAATAAACTTTTGGCTGGATTTTGTTAGAAATTATGTTATTTAATTTCTTTTATTTTTCGATTTCTTTTTAAAGTTTACCAGGTCCTTAACAGTCCAAGGACATTTTCACTGTATTTCCAGTCACTTTTTTCTTTTAGGAAAAGTCATATTTATTTTGGTATGGCTAGAATAAAAACTGTTTTAATTTTTTAACACAATTTTAAGGTGAGTATTATTAGCTCTCTTAGGATATGTATATTTTTGATTGTCTACAGAACAAATCGCTGATCCCCTTCAGGTCACTTCGATGCTATGCCGGAACAACATTTTTGGGTTATTGCTAGATAACCAATGACTGAAGAATAAGAAAGTGGGCCAATAAATGCTTTGAGTTGGCAGCACACAATTACAATGGCAATTACAATCAGCTGAGTATAAAGCCACCAGCTGCAGAGCAAGGCAGACTTCACTTCAGAAAGCCTCACGCAACTGAAGAGATAACATCTGCTGAGCTGAATCCAGACAGATAAAGCTTCATGTATCTAGTGTGGGTGACGACGCAGATAGCGGTAGGATCGGGTATCGTTTGGGGTTATTTCGATACTAAAATGGTGCTAAATTGATACTTTTAAAACAATACCGGTACCAAAACCGTGCCTGAACACTTTTAGCCACAAAATTATTTGAGAAAAAAAATATTTTAATCATTATAATTGAACAATATAAACATATTTATAATGTTTAAAGTAAACATCAATTTATGTTTTGTATATTTGAATTGCATTAACATATTTCTTTTGATCATTTGTTTGTTAATATAAATTATTATTCCACAGGTTAGTAGTAAGCTAACATTACATCAGCTTACCACTTACCTGTGGAAAGGCTGTCATCAAAATCAGGGAACACTTTTTTTTCTGGGTTTGGGGGTTGTGACTATTTTTACAAGGACATCAGTGATCTAATGATTTGCCTTAATGTGAATAAGACAAAAATATGATTCAGGTTTTTACATGACTTGCTTTTTGAATGTTACATTCATGATTCCCTGTTACATGTTATAGCACAGAGATCCATTAACGCCATTGCATCACCAGCCTATAAATGTTTCCACAGTTTGTGTCTGTGGTCCTTTAAGATGATCAAAAATCACTGTTTATGTGGTAGACTCTTAATCAGAGTATTGTCTTAATCATATTAAAATCAGAGTATTGGTGTTCGTGTAAACGTACTCAATGAAAGTGCCAGATGATGTCACAAGCTGTCAAAGACAGTCCATTCCTCACCTTTATGTTGATTTCATGAGCCCTCAAATTTCATAAGTTTGACATGGTTCCCCTGTCACACATAACTTTTTTAAAGCATCTGCTGCATGTTAGCGTGTCGGAATCCTTACTTGTAAAATAGACGTGTGAACCTACACTGGTCCCATGGTTCGGTTCGGTTACGATTATCATGCCAGCATTTCGGTTCAATTCGATATCTCGGTACATCACGGTGCATTGACGATGCTTTCCATACTCAGTTTTATGTTTATTCACAGCACAGCAATACTTGTATTTATAATACAATTTTGTCCTTTAATACAAACAGTCAGATATATGAACTTGACCTTTAAACAACACAAGCATTTATGGCAAATAAACAATTACAAGTATCCTGCTCGCTTTCTGAGCCTAGTCTATTAAGTTCTTACACCCCTTTGATTGGTCTTTGATAAATACCAGTGGCGATCACAGCTGATCCATGATAGAAACGGTGGAGAAAACTCTGCGGACACATGCTCGTGTCTGTATCCAAAAGTATCGCTGTAACAGCCGAGAGGAGTCTCTCAATCGCAGTGAAATAGGGGCTTCTGCTGTAAGTGAAGGACTGTCCAGCAAACACACAAGCATGAAATTGTTCACAGTTTCTGTGTTTTTATGAAGTTGGAGCATTATAAATACTCATGCTAGCTTCCCTCACCATATAAGCTACGGCGACGTATGAGACAAATGACATCAGTACATAATAACCGGTTATGATTATTACTGAACCGATACCGAATTGTTCGCGTCTGCATCGCGGTGCACCGCAAAAACTCAGAAGAATGCTTAGTTTAATAAAGGGAGTCGATCACGGCATGTGCCGTACTGCGCGCTTTGCCATCTATAAGCAACAAGAACAAACGCCTGACATCGCTGATGGTGTCTGTAACCCTCAAAGCTGTTTAGTATTAAATATTTAGAGATGGTGTGACAACACGTACTTGTGTGTGCCTTTGATGCACCCCTTGATGCTTCTTACGTTCTTTTCTCAGCACCAGTGGCATCAGAATTAAGCACCGAAATTCATATGCTGATTCGGTCCGGTGCATAACGGTTACAAAGGTAGCGGGTTTTAGTAATCAACTGTAGATAGCGATAGTCGAGCTGGGTGATTCTACTGTCTCTAGGTATTTCGCTGGATACTTCTTGAAGAGCAGTGTAATTGAGCAGATTTCACCTAGGAGAGCAATACTGTCAGGCAACATGTCTTTTTCAAGACACTGTTGTTTTTGGATGCAGTGGTTCCAATGGTTCTAGATGATGGGCATGGGTACTGCATCATATATTGTGGGTTTAGCATGTGGATGCGGTGCTCGCGGACAGCTTATGTCTTCACTGCAAGGGCATGTCTGTTGCACAGCTGAAATTGTGGCTTGCACTTGCAAAAGAGCACTCAGTCAGATCTGAGGATCTCAGTGGGGGCTTATCCATCACCTCCGTGGACTCCTCGCTCCTTCACAGCGCACCTATCTAAGTTTTAAGCGGTTGTGATGGTTCATCCCATAGGATACCCGCAATTCTGCTTGATGACACTGGGTATCAGATGCCCATTGCGGCATAAGAGGGTGAGCTGTAATGTTCAGAAAACAAAACAAGCCATCTACCACACTCCTGGGTGCAAAACACTGTCATAGATCAGGACCCTGGCATGAAGGCTGTGCATTC